CGAGGGCCACCATCCCTTGCAAAAAATGACACGAAGTGCACATGCGCGCGGCCGCCGCGCGCGCGTGCCGAAATCCTGCCAAACATAATGTGATTTCAATAATTTCAAGATGCGATGTTCCGAAAACATATGCAAACGCAAGACTTTCTCATCCGAAAAATATCAAAATCCACCCGCGGGCTCTTCATGAATCTTTAAAACCCAAGATGGCCCCAAGAGGCGCTCAAGATGGCCCCAAGAGGCGCCCATGAGGCCGCAAGAGGCGCCCAAGATGGTCCCAAGAGGCCCCAAGAGGACTCCAAGAGGCCCCCAAGAGGTTCCAAAGAGGCTCCAAGTTGGCTCCAAGAGGCCCCCAAGATGGCCCCAGGAGGCGTCCAAGCGGCTCCAAGAGTCCTCCGGGAGGATCCAATAAGCCCCCAAGAGGCCCCAACATGCTTTCAAGAAGCCCCCCAAAGCCTCTCAAGACAACCATCGAGACAACCATCGGGACAACGATACCTTCTCTCTTGTGTCCTCCCACATCCCTCAGGAAGTTGCCCTAATGATGTGACCGACTCCTCTCTCTCCTTCTCTCTGTCTCTCGCTCTTTCTCTGCTTCATATCTATCATACGTAACACATCTACTTGTGTAATCGCCTTCCCAGGAATTTGCCTCAAAAATGTGACCAACTATCTTGGCACTGCGTACCATCTCACGTGTACCGTGTACCACATCTTCTCAGGTTGCCTCACACATGTGACGAATCTCTTTCTATCTCTCTCTCCACTGGCTCTCTGTCTTGCTCTCTCTCTCTCTCTCTGTCTCTCTGTACTATGTATGTCATACGCAACAAATGCACCATGCGGGGCACATGCGGGGCCCAAACAAGTGATCAACCTCTGCGGGTGTGTACTCCACGCCAGTGTAGTATCCACGATCGTCCGCGCGCCACGAAGTGAAGTGTCCTGACGTCATAGGGCGGGAAGCTGGGTGTGGGTGGTTCCCGAGAGTCGTGTGGATGTTTGGTAGAGCTTGCATTGCCCCCCCACGAAGTGGGGGTATTGGCTGGCGTCGCATGAAAACCCTGGCACTGGGGAGAACACTGAGCGTTCGGGTAAAATGATTGTTGTTGTTGTTGTTGTTGTTGCTGCTGCTGTTGTTGTTGTTGTTGTTTTGTTGTTTTGTTGCTGTTGTTGTTGCTGTTGTTGTTGCTGGTGGTGGTGGTGGTGCTGATGCTGGTGCTGGTGGTGGTAATGTTGTCGTCGTCGTCGTCCTCGTTGTTGTTGGTGTTGCTGTTGGTGTTGTTGTTGGTGGTGTTGGTGTTGTTGTTGTTGCTGTTGTTGTTGTTGTTGTTGTCGTTGTTGTTGTTGTTGTTGTTGTTGTTGTTGTTGTTGTTGTTGTTGTTGTTGTTGTTGTTGTTGTTGTTGTTGTTGTTGTTGTTGTTGTTTGTTGTTGTTGTTGTTGTTGTTGTTGTTGTTGTTGTTCGTGGGCCAGTTTTGGCGACCCCCCAAACCGCTCGAGCGTGAGCAATGAAGATGTAGCCGGCGCCGAGGCGAGACCGCCAAAGCGCCTGGGGGGCCAACAATAACATTTGCTTAGTACTTAACAGTTAACAACAACATCCGTCGCCATCTCGAGCCGTCTTTGAGCGGTCTTGGGGCCGCTTGGAGCATCTTGGGAGCCATCTTGAGCCAGCTTGGGCTATCTGTGCCATCTTGGAGGTCACCTTGGGGTCTCTGAGGCCGCTCGGGGGCCTCTTGGGTGCCTCCCGGGTGCCTCTTGGAGCCCTCTTGGGGCCTCTTGGGGCGCTCTTGGAGCCCTCTGGGGGGCCTCGTGGGAGCCCTGTAGCGCCTCCTGGGGCCATCTTGGAGGCGGTCGGTTAAACGAGGGGGGGTATTAGACGTAGCTCCCCCCCTCGGGGGCCATGATCCTAGTGAGGGGTGTCACAAATTGGCCCTCCCAGGGGCCGAAACCTCGCGACAAAGGGTCGCGACACCTCGTTTTTGTTTAAAGAAGGGTCGCGACACCTCGCGACCTTTATTTAAACAAATTCCTCAAGGAGGGGAGAGAAGGGTTCCCCTCCCCGAAGGGAAGAGGGTTGTGGAAGAGGGAAGCAACCCTCCTTAGACCACCTGTACCCCAAAGTGCTGGTGCCATTACGACGTCCGCTATTATCGTTTGGGCGAGCACGTTTGAAGTGAAAGGCCCAGGGTAAGAGAGGCAACGGCTGGCGCGTTGGAGAAGGAGACCCAGTAGAAAGTATGAGATGGCGACGGCGACGACGACGACGAGGAGACGACGAATGTGAAACAGCGACGAATGAAACAGTCTTTTCCGCACGCTGATTCATTGCCATCTCGCAGAGGCCTTCTTGGACGCTCCAACGGGTCGCGAACTCAGCCGCCCAGGTTCAACAAGAAGGAGGTAGGAGGAGGGGTCAGGACACCCGCCCCGCCCGCAGGCTGTTCCGCTCACTCCAACCCCGCCCTCCCAACACATAAGTCGCACCCAGGCCTCAGCATGTTCAGCGGTCGTCCTTGGATGGGCAGCGAATGGGAACCCAAACAGATCCCATGTGCGCAGCGCTGGGGCGAGGTGCGCCACACGTGCCAGGCGCTCTACGCGCGTCAGGTGCGCCAGGCACCCCCGTGGCCCCAGCGTGCCAGGCACGCATGGAACGCCAGTTGCGCCACGTGACCCACGTGCGTCACACGTGATTCACGTGCGCCATGCGGTCCGCATGCTCCATCCGCGCCAGGTAGCCACGTGCGGGGCACGCGCATAGTGTGCGAGGTGCGCTTGCGCACGTGGCAGTGCACGTGGCAGTACACATCGGGAAACGTGTCGGCCCCCACCACCCTTGTCGAAAACGAGTGCGCAATCGCGGCGGGATGGTCATCATGCTGTATGGTGGGCCTGCAAACAGCAGGCAATTTGCCAGCACCCCCGCCGGCCCAGTCAAAAACAACTGGACCATCATCGCGAGACTCCCGCGCATGATCCAGATTTTGTCTAGAAGTGCGTGTTGCATTTTTCTTTGACAGGGATGTAGGCCTTGCGCGCAGCAGGCAATATGCGGGCACCCTCGCCGTCCATGTCGAAAAACATTCAAAGTGTTCGCGGCCCCCGCGATCATGACCCTAGATGTTGCCCCAAATTGGACGTCACAGTGCTTTCGTTTGACGGGGGGCTCCTCGTTGGTCCTGGTTGGCTGCGGGTCACCCAGTCGAGGGGGTCTTTTTTAGTAGGGAAAAACAATAAATCCCTCCCGGAAAGAGAAGAAGGGGGGTTGGAAGAGAAGCCCTCCTACACTACTCGCTCACGCCCGGATTCCTCATTCCCCCATCTCCTCCTCATCCTCCTCCCGCTCCTTCTTCTCCCCCTCCATTCCTCCTCTCTCCGTCTTCGTCACTCCCATCATCATCCTTCCCATCCTCCTCCTGCGCCTACTCCTACTCAACCTGCTCGTCCCCCGTCGCCTGGGTGGAGCTCCCTGTGGAGGCAGGAGCCGCGTGAGATCGTGCCGCGATGAGTGCAGCAGAATCAGCAGGAGCAGCAGCGATGGGAGGAGTAAAGGAACTGAGAATGAAGATATGGGGTCAGGAGGAGGATGTGGAGGAGGAGGAGGAGGAGAAGGAGGAGGAATACGAGAAGGGGGAAGAGGAGGAGAAGGAGGAGGAGGAAGGAGGAGGACTCGCCCCTCCTCCAGTTTTGGCCTAGCTCGGACGCTGCGTTCGCCAGCCTGCCTCGCCGCCGCCCGTTCGCAGCCGTGCGTGAAACGGCGCGGCGGCCAAAGTCGCCCAGCATGCCCTGCTGCCTGCGTGCGCAGATGCAGCCACAGGCAGCCAGAGAACGCGGTCCCATACAGCAACTAGCCAGCGGCCGAGTGAAAGCGACCCTCTCTCGGATACAGGCGTTGCTGTTGTTCACAGCGGGCGTGTTCGCCCAGTTTTTGGCCCTGGGACCCTCGCAAGTCGATCTGGCTTGACATGTGACTCAGAGAGATGGGGGGTCTGGAGCTCTGGTCGCGATGTTTCGCGATGTTACAGATTTCTGGCAGTGTTGGATCTCAGGGTCCTCCTCATCCTGCCGCCGTCCTCCTGTTCTGGCTCCTGCTCCAGCCCCTGCTCCTGCTCCTGCCAGTTGCTGATTTCTCCCCCGTTCCGTCCGCTTTGTCAGGCAAAGCGCTGGCTCACCCGGGAAGTACCAGTCTCGTGCCGCATTGCTGCAGTGACAAGCCAATTGCGATGCACCATGCAAGAGAAGTGGCAAGAGAGAGAGAGAGAGATCGGGGGAGGGAAGGGGGCAAATCGCGCTGCGCCGTCTGTTGGCGTCAGCGCCCCCATCGTTGCCCTCCCAGGCTGCACGTCCTTCAACAGGAGGAATAGTCGAACATAGTAAACAATAGTATGGTGACGATTTTTCTATGTTTCTATTTTAACATGCTTTTCCGGTATTCTTGATTTTTCGTCTCCCCTTTCGGGGGACATGCCCGACCTAATCTTAGAGTTGGGTTTGGTCTCTTGTTGTCGAGCGGTCGGGCTCCTGTATTCATATCCGCGGCCTCGAGGGCTGGGCCTCCGGGCCGCGATTCCGGGGATGCGGAGCGCTTTGTTCGCCGATGCCCCGCTCGGAACGTGTCCGTGCGGCCGCATATCCGAGGGATCGCGCCCTGGAATGCAGACCGCGAGGGCGCGGACACGGGGCTCAAGAGACGGGGTCAATGCAAACGGGGGTGAGTCCGAGCGCCGGATCTTGCAGGATCTCGCAGAGCCAGGGTTGCATTGACCCGGGCTTGGGCGCAGGATCCTGCAGGATCCTGCAAAGCTCGATTGATCCGCGTTTGGATTGACCCGGGTCAGTAGATCCCCGAACGGTGATGATTGCCGCTCGTGAGCCTCCGGGGAGATCGCGATACGCGCCGGCAGTAGCACACTTGGTTGGCCGCCCTGGGGGTGAAGTCCAGTTCAGGCATTGCCCGAGCGACCGCACGCCGTTGGGCCGCCAATGAGCTCCCGAGGTTGGCGGCAAGTGCGCACCTGGGCACCACGCGCAGAGGGCGCGGCCAGCCACCCCGCCCGAGCCCTGCGCCCCAGCCCCGCGGGCACTCGCGCCCGCGAGCGCGAGCGCGAGCCCGAGCGCCAGCGCGAGCGCCAGCGCCAGCGCCAGCGCCAGCGCCAGCGCCAGCGCCAGCGCGAGCCCGAGCGCGAGCCGAGCCCCCCCCCCGAAGTCCCGCGCGCCCGCCGAGCCCGCCTCGAGGGGCCGCCCCGCGCGCCCGCGCCGCCCCGCTCCACCCCGCGCCGCCGCGCGCGCCCCGCGCCCCCCCATGGTCCTGCGGGCGCAGTGGCTGGCGCGCGGCCCGCGCTCGCGGTGCTGCAAGAGGCGCCCGTCTTCTGGCCTGGGGGGGGGGGGTAGGAGGAGATCAAGGAGCAGGAGGAGGGGTAGGAGGAGGAGGAGGAGGAGGAGGAGGAGGGAGGAGGAGGAGGAGGAGATGGTGAAGGAGGAGGAGGAGGTGGAGGGAGGAGGAGGAGGAGGGGGCGGAGGAGGAGGAGGAGATTGAGCAGGAGCAGGAGGAGAAGGAGGAGGAGCAGCAGGAGGGTTAGGAGGAGGTCCAGTGAGAGGAGGAGAAGGAGTTGGAGGAGGAGGGGGAGGAGGAGGAGGAGGAGGAGCAACAGGAGGATAAGGATGAGAACCAGAAGGATGATGAGGAGGACTGGGTGGAGAAATAGGAGGAACAGGATAAGCAGGAGGAGGAGGGGGAGGAACCAGAAGGAGGAGGTAGAACATCGAAGGGGAGGAGGCTATCATGGACGATCCCGCCGACTGTCGTTTAAAAGGTTGGCAGGCGTAGAAAAGGGAGGAGACCGAGGAGGGGGAGAAGGATGACAACAAGGAGAAGCAGGGCATGAGGGTCTTCTTCTCCCCCCTCCAATCCCTTCCCTCCCTCCTCACCCCCACTCCGCCCCGTCATCCCCCGCATCTCTGCTCATCACCCTTGATTCATGTCCGCGCCCTCCGCCTTGAGTGAGCGGGAATGAGCAGGAACCGGAGGCGGGGTGTGAGATCGCAGTGAAACGGAGCGTCTCCACTGCGCGGGCGGACGAGAGGAACAAACCCTCTCGTGGCCAGGGCGCCGCTGGGCCAGAGTACTGCCCGCCCCTCCCCTGGGTTGGGTGGCGGTGGCCAGGGATGTCCCCCCCTGTGGCGTCCGGGTGGTGCCCCGTGGCGCAGTGTTTTGGTGATGTCCCGCGAGGCGCAGGTGGAGATCGAGAGAGGGGTGGACCGTGGGATCGATAGCGAGAGCGATGGTGGGATCGATAGCGGGATCGAGAATGATGCCGACAGTGCTACCGACAATGAGACTGACAGTGATATCCACAGCAGGATCGATAGTGGGATCGATAGGGAGGTCGATCGTGAGATCGATTGTGACATCGGTAGTGATATCGGTGAGATCGATAGATGCGATCGATCGTCAGGTAGACAGAGGGATCGATAGAGAGATCGGTCGTGAAACCGATAGTGCGGTAGATGCTGATGCCGTTTGTGGTGTCGATAGTGGTATCGATAGTGAAGAGGGGGACTGAGACCGATTGTCAGATCGATAGCGAGATCGATTATTATTGAATCGCCTCGCTCATTCCGTCGGCCCATACGGTCTCATGTCTGCCGTTTGCCCGAGGGCCTGGTGTCAATGCGGCGCTTTGGGGGTTCCTGGGGCCGCTTGGGGGACTCCTGGGGCGCTCGGGGGGGCATTTGGGGGGCCTCCTGGGGCCGCTTGGGGGACTCTTGGGGGCCTCCTGAGGGCCTCGTGGGGGCCTCTTGGGGCCTCTTAGGGGCCTCTTGGGGCCTCGTAGGGGCTTCTTAGGGCCGAGGGCGCGAAATTTTGTTTCGTGTTCCCTCTCTGGGGCCCCTTTGGGGGTGTTCTTGGGGCCCTCTTGGACCGTCTTGGAGGCTTCTTGGGCCGTCTTCGAGCCCTCTTGGGCCATCTTGGGGCCCTCTTGGGGGCCTCTTGGGCCCTCTTGGGGCGATCTTGGGGGCCTCTGGGGCCGTCTTGGGGCGTCGGGAACCGAAAAGGTGGAAGCTCCAAAATCTCTCAAAAACCTAAGGAAAAACAATGAATTTTGCCTCCGGGGGCCCTCTTGGGAGTGCTCTGGGAGGCCTCTTGGGGCGTCTGGGGGCTATCTTGGGCGTCTTGGAGCGATCTTGTGGCATGTCGGACCCCTCGTGTACCATCTTGGGGGCCTCTTGGGGGCCTCTTGGCCTTTCTTGGGGCTCTCGGGGACGTCTCGGAGCCCTGTTGGTGCGCTCATGGAGCGCTCCTGGAGCGCTCTGGGGGACTCCTCCCGAGACTCTCTCAGGACCTTGCCGGGGTACTTTTCGTCCGGGGACCCCCAGGGGCCGCCCCGCGCGCGCGAACTAGAGAATTCTTAACCAGTTACCGGAGATCTTAGCACGCCTCTGGCCCGTTGGGCCGGCGAATTAGACGGATATTGAGACCGCTTGTGCGATCGATGGTGATACCGACAGTGAGATCGATAGAATGATACATATTCGTTGGTCGATTGTGAGATCGATTGTGAGATCGATTGTGAGATCGATAATGGGAGGACTATTTATATCGTTCGTGAAATCGATAGTGAGGTCGTTGTTGAGATCGATGGTGATATATTCGATGAGATCGATAGTGAGCGTTGGTTCCTCCCCCCAACGTCGTGATCATCCGAAGTGTGGTCGTAGATGTAATTCATATTTAGACGGCGTAAGGGCAAGAGGAGGAAAGGAGGAAGAGGCGGAGGTAGATGACGAATAGGTTGTGGAACAGTGAGGGTTTGGAGGAAGACGATATGGAGGACGAAGAGGAAATTGGGGACGGATGTAAAAGACGAATCTGACACTGACGGGCGAGGAGGTGTGCGAGGAGGAGGTGGAGGAAGGGGAGGAGGAGGAGGAGGAGGAGGAGGAGGAGGAGGAGGAGAAGTTCTTGCAAGCGGCGTCGCCTCAGCTGCCGGCGCAGCTGCCACTGCCTCCGTAGGTGCCGCAGCCGCCTGTGCCGCCGCCTGTGTCGCCGCCGCCGCTGCTGCCGTCTCGCTCGCCGCCGTCGCTGCCGCTGCTGCCCCGCTCGCCGCCGCCACGTCGCTCGTCGCCGCCGCCGCAGCCGCCGCTGCAGCCGCCGACGCCGCCCGAGGCGCTCCAGCGGGCCGACGGCCGCGCGACCGGCCGCGGAGGGCGGCCGCGGCGCCGCGGAGGGCGGCTCGGCGCGGTGCCGCCGCTTCGTGGACTGGCTGCGGCAGAACGGCGTCGAGGCGCTCCTCCGGCCCCCGGCGGCCCTCGGCGGAGGCCCTCGGCTCGCCTCGGAGCGCACGGGTCAAGCAGTGGCGAGGCGTCTTGGCTCGCCTGTAGCCCTGCCAGGCAATGTTCCAAGAACCTCTCTGTGGTTTACACGACATGTTCTTAGAGCATGCCTGGCGGGGTCTGTCTTGTTTTGTCACATCGGGTTCCTATGTTCTAAGAACCTTGTTCTTGTTTTTCGAGCATGTGTGGGTTCTCAGAAGATTTCGTGGTAGGGCCAGAGGAATGCCGGGACGGTGGGTCCCTGCTCAAACGGGTCGAGAGGGAAACGGGCCCTGAACTCCCTGGAATCCTGATGTTCCAACCTACTTCAGCCTGGACCGCCAGAAGGAAGTTCGGGCACCAAGAAAGTTCCGAGAGACTGGAGGGCTTTCACGTGTCGGGCCCTGGGATGCGATGCTCGTTCCACACCGTCTCGATGCCTTTTTCTGGGTGCTCGGAATTAGTTCTGGGATCTGGTCCTCAAGTACGATGGGAACAACCTAACCGTGGAGGCTCTCCGCCTCCGCGCTCTCCTGGCCATCCGCGGGCCTGGGAGAGTCCGCAGACGGCTCGTGAAGAGGAGCTGGCCCCTGGGGAGCAATCCAGGCCTCCTGGAGGGGGTCGGAGCAGATGGGGTCGGAGGCTCGCTCCGCATCGCCCATGCATCGACGATGCGGCTCGATGTGGAGCCCGATCTGCTTCACGTCGACGTCGCCGATGCATCGACGATGCATCGCCGATGCATCGCCGATGTATCGGCGATGCGGCGCGATCCTCCGACCCATCTACTCTTAAGTCGGGCCTGCCCCTCTACAGGAGGGATGCCTCCAAATAGTCCAAAAATTCGCCGGCCCAACGGGCCAGAGGCGTGCTAAGATCTCCGGTAACTGGTTAAGAATTCTCTAGTTCGCGCGCGCGGGGCGGCCCCTGGGGGTCCCCGGACGAAAAGTACCCCGGCAAGGTCCTGAGAGAGTCCCGGGAGGAGTCCCCCAGAGCGCTCCAGGAGCGCTCCATGAGCGCACCAACAGGGCTCCGAGACGTCCCCGAGAGCCCCAAGAAAGGCCAAGAGGCCCCCAAGAGGCCCCCAAGATGGTACACGAGGGGTCCGACATGCCACAAGATCGCTCCAAGACGCCCAAGATAGCCCCCAGACGCCCCAAGAGGCCTCCCAGAGCACTCCCAAGAGGGCCCCCGGAGGCAAAATTCATTGTTTTTCCTTAGGTTTTTGAGAGATTTTGGAGCTTCCACCTTTTCGGTTCCCGACGCCCCAAGACGGCCCCAGAGGCCCCCAAGATCGCCCCAAGAGGGCCCAAGAGGCCCCCAAGAGGGCCCCAAGATGGCCCAAGAGGGCTCGAAGACGGCCCAAGAAGCCTCCAAGACGGTCCAAGAGGGCCCCAAGAACACCCCCAAAGGGGCCCCAGAGAGGGAACACGACACAAAATTTCGCGCCCTCGGCCCTAAGAAGCCCCTACGAGGCCCCAAGAGGCCCCTAAGAGGCCCCAAGAGGCCCCCACGAGGCCCTCAGGAGGCCCCCAAGAGTCCCCCAAGCGGCCCCAGGAGGCCCCCCAAATGCCCCCCCGAGCGCCCCAGGAGTCCCCCAAGCGGCCCCAGGAACCCCCAAAGCGCCGCATTGACACCAGGCCCTCGGGCAAACGGCAGACATGAGACCGTATGGGCCGGCGGAATGAGCGAAGCGATTCAATAACTTTGGGACTATTTGTTTGAGCATTTCTTGATCCTTTTTGGGGCGTTTTTTTCTCCGTATTTTTAGTTTTTCGCCCCAACATTCCCCTGTAGGGGATTTTCTAGTTTCTAGTTTTTCTCTGTATTTTCTAGTTTTTCTGCGTATGTAGGGGGACAGGCCCGACCCAACTCCAAACGAGGCCCGGGGGCCCGGGACGCCCGCTCCCCTCGGGATCGCTTTCCGCCCCGTGCCCGCGGGGCGGCGGCCCGCGGCGGCCGCCCGGGCGGTGCCGCCGCGGCGGGCTGCGCGCCGTCGCGGGCTCTCCGCGGCCTGTCCCCCTCTTGGCATCGCTCGGACGTGTGCATTTTTCCTTCGGCGAGGACCATCGAGGAGCATCCTTGATCAGTTGGCGAAAAAGCCACGCACGAAACCACAAAAACACAGAGAATGGTCGTCCGAGCGACGGCGAGGTTAAAGCATAGTTCTTTTTCATTGCACCCGAGAAAGCCCAATCGGTGGAGGATCTGAGAATTGCAGCTATGGATCTTGAGGTCGCTTGGGAGATCGAGAGTGAGATCGATAGTGTAATCGATAGTGAGGACGATTGTACGGTCGATCGTGAGACCGAGAGTGAAATCGATTCAATGAGATCGATAGTGACATCGATCGCAAGATCGTTCATGCGAGCTCTAGTGGGATAGCTTGTGATATCGATAATGAGATCGATAGTGAGATCGATGGTGAGATCGATAGAGAAGTGGGTAATGAGATCGATGGTGAGACCGATCGATAAGAAGATCGACCAGGAACCCGGGAATCCGGGAACCTCGCCGCCCAAATCAGCCCCGAACCGGGATCCCGGGAACCCGGAACCAGGAACCAGGGAAGCCAGCGTGCGACCAAAATCGGCGAGACAGTTTCGCCAGATCCTTCAACTTCCGCGAGGACCCCTTGAGTGCAAGCACGGATTGGGGAAAAAGATATAGGCTGGGGACGACGTTGTGAATATTTGTGGCCAGTTTGGAGCATTTTTTGTTATTGCGCCCGAAAGCCCCCTGTAGGGTTAAGTCGGGCGTGTCGCCCTTACAGGGGGAATTTCGACGAGATATTTCTAGATATATATAACCCACAACTAGTCAACAACATCGTCCAACAATAGTCTGGGGATTTTTTTTGAGTGTTGTTTTAGACCTTTCTGGGGTAACTTTGGGGTATGTTTTACTTTTCGTCGAACATCCCCCTGCAAGGGGGCACGCCCCACAGAACTGTGGGGGGACAGCCGTGGCTGCGGAGGGAGCCCTCCCGAGGCAGGAAGCCCGACGGGGACCCACGAAAACTCCCGAGGACCCACCAAAACCACCGACGTCACGATCTGGTCCACTGCGATGCTGCTGACGATGATGGCAACGATGACGATGACGATGACGATGACCCCCAAAAGGACTGAACCCTTTCCCAGGGGGACAGGCCCGACCTCGCCCCAGCGGCGCCGCCGCTTCGCCGCGCGGGCCCCCGCGCGGCACGGCGCAGGGGAAAAGGGGGAGGAGGAGGAGATCGGCATGATATCGGCATGGGCAGTACGCAATCGTACTAAGGAAGAGGGGGAGGAGGAGGAGGAGGAGGAGGAGGAGGAGGAGGAGCCCCCGGCGGCCTCCTCGGCGGCCCTCGGCGGCCTCCTATCGGCGGCCTCCTCGGCGGCCCCCTCCGCGCAGCGGGCCGCCGCCCCGCCGCGCGGCCGCCGCTGCTCGGGCGGGGGCGGCGCTTCCGCCGGGACGCGTGGAGGTGCTCCTCGCCTCGGGGTGCGGGCAATAGTTCCATCCACATCCAGTGAGTCTTGGAGTCTTGGGCTACCTTGCCTAGAAACTGGAGGCGCAGTGGATGTGGATAAACATCTGGCCGCCAAAGGCTCGATGTTTCTCCATATCCAGTGCGACTCGGCCTTGCGGTACCCCTTCCCAAACATTCCAAGACGCTCTGGATCTGGATATAAGTACTGCCCGCATCGGGGTGCGTGCTGGCAGCTGCGCCTCGCCGAGATCGGGGGCCCCCAAACAGGGTGGTGACCACGCCGTGCGAGTAGGGGATCGACTACAGAGTTGATTTGCCCCCGAACTGATTTGTCTGGTCGAATCCACGGGCAGTTCGTAGAACTTTCGCAGATCTACGAATGGTTGGCGCATTTTTGTCGAAGAGTCGACGTGACAATCAATCTCGGGGTAAGTCAATTCTGTGGTCGATCCCCCAGTCGAACCGTGTGGTAAGTCGGTGGGGTTTCGGGGTCGCCGCACGGTTTGGGGACTCGGGCCGTTCTCCGAGGACGTCTCAGGCGCGATTGGGGCATCCGAGGTCCCCAAACCGTGCGCTGACGGACCGTGGCGGTGAGGTCTTGGGGGATTCCGAGGTCACCGCGCGGTCTGTCACCGCACCGTTTCGGGACTCCAGACGAGAGCGTTCCGGTGGTGCCCCAATGGTCGCGAGCGGTCGTTGGAGGCCCGAGGCGCGGCTTGGAAGCCGCCCCCCGTGGCTACGCTTCTCGGCGGCGGAAGCCGAACCCCACCCTCGCCGATCCACGACTCAGGCAACGCGGTGGGCGGCGGGGGCAGGGTTCGGAGTTCGTCGAACGCGTGCCGAAATCCCAACCCTACCCCTGCCTGCCATCGATCCAGGAGAGTCGATGGCTGGTGAGGTTACGTGGGGTTCTGATATCGTCACCCGACTTAGAAATGACCCTTCGCCGCGTAAAGGGTCACTCCTGCCCGGGGTCACTCTTGCGTGTAGCTGGTTCCCTCAGGTATTGTGGGCGTTCTTCGTGGAGGAGGAGGAGTTTGTTGGACGTTCTTGTTTCTTTTTGGACGCTCAGTTACTCTGTGCCGTCGAATAGGGCACCTCGTCTTTTCAAATGTTCTTTGCATTTCAATATACCGCACGATCTTGCAGCCTCAGTGCAGGCCTACTGCCTAAGTTGGTTTATTTTGCTCCTGCATGCCATTGAACGCTGCAAGCCTAAAGCAACGGGAAGGTGAGGAGGTGGGTTCGCGCATCGATGCTTCTCCTTTTCAGACCTCCAAGGGCCTCTGGAGGCGTCTGGGACCTCTGGAGGATTCCAGGGACGTCCCCCCCATAGCCCATGCCCGAAGAGAGCGATACCGCCGAGGTCGTCGTCTTCGATATGGACCAGACCATGAGCAGCGACCACTGCGGCGATGGCCTTCCCAACCACAGGCCCGCCGGCAGGGGGGATGCTTCTGGGACAACCAGGTGCTCCCTGATCCTTCGTCCCCCCTCCTCCTCCTCCCCTCCTCCTCTCCTCCACCCTCCCCTCTCCTCCTCCTCCTCCTCCTCCCCCTCCTCCTCCTCCTCCTCCTCCTCCTCCTCCTCCCTCCTCCTCCTCCTCCTCCTCCTCCTCCTCCTCCTCCCCCTCCCCCTCCTCCTCCTCCCCCTCCTCCTCCTCCTCCTCCTCCTCCTCCTCCTCCTCCTCCTCCTCCTCTACCTCCTCCCCCCTGCCAAGCGAGGGGGGTGCCCCCCAGTGAAAGCTCTCTGGCCATCGCAGGCATTGATGGCTGCCCGCTCAGGGCGCTTTGGCGCACGCATGGGGCACGGCGAGTTGCGAGTAGGAGCTTCCAGTGGTCCGCAGGCAGCTCATGCTTCAACCCCGCAGAAGAGTCGAATGCTGGCCGGCTCGTAATAATCATCCTACGATCGAGGGTTGCCAGAGGTGGTTCTGCCCCAAGGTGACCTCAGGTGCCCCCAGCTGTTCGTCCCATGATGGAGCCCCTGTGGCCCTCAGCCTCGTGAGGAATGATCTGGAGGCCACTTGGGCCCTTCGGGACATGGAATCCTGTGGACACCTTGGACCATGGACAGCTCTGGCAACACCCGACACTGGGGCTTGAGTTTAGGTGCAATTGCCCTAGAGCCACGAGCTTCGCCGCCGCCGCCGGGGCCGCAGTTCGGGCTGCCATCGGCGACGGTGCCGGCGACGGCGACGACGTGCTTTACGAGGGCGACGGCGGCGACAAGACGACGATGTCGTCGACGGCGGCGGCGATGCCGACGACGGCAGCGGTGGCGACGAAGGCAGCGGTGACGACGAAGGCGGCGGCGCCGCCGACGACGTGTTCGGCGGCGTCTACGACGAAGGCGGCGACGGCGGCGACGACGGCGGTGACTGACCCTGGTAGCGATGACGACGGCGCAACGGAGGCTCCAGGAGTACATCGATCGTGCGAGCGCCGACTTCGTGGAGGCGGCCCCAGTGCTGAGGTTCGGCGGGTTCAGGCTGGCCGTCGCCACGGGCAGCGACCCGGCCGAGTACGACCTGGAGGGCAACAGCCGCACCACGCACATCCCGGCTGGCTGGAGGTTTTGGGGTCTCCGGCCGTTGGTTGGTTTGTTCGCCGGGGTGACCTCTGTTCAGCCGGTCGCAGGGCCGGGAAAAGCAGCTCCAGGGCGTTCGGATTCAGGAACATGCTGGAACGGCACGGGGGCCAGTTACATCCTACAGAACCGCTTTATCTTAGATATTCCCGATCTATCCCAGTCCAGTGTTGCCCGGGGTTTGGGTTCTGTCTTGCTTCTGGTTCGGGGCTCACGGGGTTCCTCCCAGCACCGGCTTGCGCGGTTCGCATGGATTGGAAGCTTCCCCCCCGCGGCCCCCGATGGCCGCGCATCAAAGCTGACTCACATTCGCCTGGGGGCACTCCTTGCGCGAGGCTAGATTGCTGGGGGCGTCGGAGAGGGGGAGAATCACACGTGGGTGCTGGATAGGATTGCCAGGGCCACGAATTCTCTCACAGCTCATATCCCCCCCGCCGCATCCTTCACACGTCCCCAGGCCCGCCTATGCAGCTCGTCCGCGCGCATGCGCCCAGGTCGTGATGCGGCAGCCCCCCTCGCTCCAGCTTCCCCTGTCCGGGGAGTGTGTTACGCACCCTGCTCTTCGTCCTCGTAGGAACCACCAGGGGCCTCCGGGAAGGAACCACCGTGGGCCTCCATAGGCCTCCTGGTGACCTCAGAAGGAACTTCCTCCTCTTCCTCCCTCTCCTCCTCCTTCTCCTCCTTCCTCCTCCTCCTCCTCCTCCTCCTCCTCCTCCTCCTCCTCCTCCTCCTCCTCCTCCTCCTCCTCCCCCTCCTCCCCCTCCCCCTCCTCCCCCTCCCCCTCCTCCTCCTTTCCCTCCCCCCTCCTCCCCCCCCTCCTCACCCTCTCCCTCCACGTGCCTCCGGGAGCCTCTCGGGGAGGCTTCGGTCGGGGAGGCCCGTGGAGTCTTCCCGTCCTGCTCCGGGCCTCTGGGAGGCCCGCCGTCGCCGCGGCCGGGTTGGCCCGGGCCTCCCGTCGCCCGCGCGCCCAGGTCCTCAAGTAGGATGCGAACAACATAAGCCAAGAACTCAAGTAGGATCCTTAAGCAGGATCTTTAAGTAGGATCCTTAAGTAGGATCCTCAAGTAGGATCCTTAAGTAGGGATTTAACTTGGAAGAAGCCCTAGGTGAAACGCGACCGAGATTAATGAATCTCGGTCACGTTTCGCCCGAGACTTCTGGGCCATAAAAAAAACTTAAATGATCCTACTTAAGGATCCTACATGCGACCTTAAAGGATCCTCAAGCCGGATCCTTTAAGGTCTCCTGCGGTCGGGCCCCTGCTGCAGCCGAAGCGTGTCCGCCCTGTGGGGGCGAGGCGTGTCTCCTCCGCCGCCTCTGTTCGCTTGCGGATCCCCTGGATGTCAGGAGGAACATCCTGGAGGCCCGAGATGGGCACGGAAACAGTGGTCACGATGCCCAACAGCAGTTCCTGTTCATTTCGATCAGGGCTCGCTGTCCGCGCCGCCGCGGCCTGTGCCCATTTGGAACAGAAGGCCGCCTGCCCAACAGCGGCCGCTGTTGGTTTGGGACAACATTTGTTATTGGTCATTGTACCCATTATTTCCGTACCCACTTCGGGCGTCCAAAAAGTCTGGGGCCCCGTGGCCAAGGGTTCAAGCAGTGGCGAAGCGTCCTGGCTCGCCTATAGCCCTCTACCAAACAATGTTCTGAGAGCCTTCTGTGGTTCCCACGACATGTCCTTACAACATTTCTGGCGGAGTCTGTCTTGCTTGAACACATCGGGTTTACGCCCTAAGAACATTGTTTTTCTTTTCCGAACATTTCTGGGTTCTGAGAACATTTCGTGGTAGGACAATAGGAATGCCGGGACGGTCGGTCCCTGCTCATTGGGTGGCCGTTTTTGTTGTGGAGAGCTTCGCGCGTCGCGGCTCGGCTCCGCTGCCTCGTCGGCCTCCTCTCTTACGGGACGCGAAAATGACCACAGCCACTGCTTTTCTGGTGTTGCGGCCTTCCAGCCAGCAGAAACAAAGCAGTGGTTGTGACCATTTCGTTAAGCTTGGCACCGGGGAGATGACCACAACCACTGCTTCTTTTTCTGCCGGCTGGAAGGCGGCGCAAACAAGAAGCAGTGGTTGTGATCATTTTCCCGTCCCGCACCTCTTCTCCCCCAGGGGGACGGCGCGAGAGCGCCGAGCTGTTACGCGCGCAGCGCGCTGCGCGACGCGCGGAGTCGGGCGCCTATGTGTGGCCGATTTGGGGAAGGTTGAGGAGTAAGATATGGAGGAAGAGGGGGAGGAGGGGGAGGAGGAGGAGGAGGAGGAGGAGGAGGAGGAGGAGGAAGAGGATCATAACAGGAAAAAACAAGTAAATACAAAGGGTTTTATTGGATTTACGCCGGAAGGGGGTGTCGTTGAGAGGGTGCTTGGCACGGATGCGGGGATCGGGGTGGCGTCGGTGTTTGGAGCTGGCGGTTTGCGTGGCAAGTGCGTTTAGCTGGTCGCACGTGTTCGGAACGCGTGATGGGTGGAAAGGCCGCTCACCAGCAAGTGGCAGTCCTCTGCCCGCGGGCCAGGGCAAATCGTCGCGCGTTCGCAACGGGGTGTGGGAAAAAAGGGGGTCGGGAAGAGAGCGCGAGTCTCATCCCCAAGAAGTTCTTTCGATAGGCAGCAAACAATTCTTTTTCGATTCGTCTGCCGCACGGCCAACCGAACGAACGAACAACTGTCTCGGCGCGCACTGTCGCTTGCGCGCATCCTGGTTTCCTTCCGTTGCGTCCTTCGCTTCTTTCTCGCCCTCCTCTTTTTTTCCCTCTTCCCCCGTTTTGCCTTGTCCCGCCCCCCCTTCCTTTCCAGCTCGGAGCTGTCGCCGCGCGCGAAGAACGCAACCCAAAGGGCGTTGTTGTAATTCTTTTGTGTGCCACGATGTCTCGTGTAATTCCTTTGTGTGCGGTTTGGTTACACTGCCAACGCGGGGGGCCCACAAAGGAATTTCCTTTGCGTACGATCGTTTCCGCCGCCCCCACAAGAGCACGCGCGATTCCTTTGTGTAGAGCTTGCTTTCCCGCCTCGAGGAGCGCGCTGGGCTTGTCGCAACAATCGCAAGGCCGCGGCGCCTGGCAGTGCGATGCAGCTGCGCCGGCTACCACGCCCAAAACGATGCTACGTGAATTTTGGCTCTTCTGCCGAAGTCGCGCTGGCAGCTGGCCAGCCACGTCGACGGCCCTGCATACCCGCGCGCGCTACTGCGTTCTGCTGCCGCAGCGCGCGCTGCTGTCAACGGATGAACAAACTGACGTTGCACGGCGTTTTGTCTGTGCCAAAACAACATGGGATGTGTGTCGGTAGCGGATCTTTGGATCTCGTCACCGCCGACAGCCTTGCCGCACCGTGCGTGTCAATTGCATCCTAGAGCGCGGCCGTGCATCAACCCTGCTTCGGATCGCTGGGGATCCAGTGGCATGTGTGCACATGCATTGCACCGGTGGTGGTGCCAAAACCCTTTGCGTGAAATTCCTGTGTGTGTGTGTGTGTTTTTTTTTCTGACTCCTAGAGGAGGAGGAGGAGGAGGAGGAGGAGGTGGGGGAGGCAGAATTAAGTCTGGCGCGCTTGTGTGACCGATATGGGGAAGTCTGAGGAGTAAGATGCGGAGGAAGAGGTGGAGGAGGAGGAGGAGGAGGAGGAGGAAGAGGAGGTGCGTAGAATTCAGTCGGGCGTGTCCCCCTCGAGGATAAATGGAACAGTTTCAAACATTACCCAAAATGGTCAAATAAAATTTCAAAATTAAAAAACGCTTTACTATTTTTGAGTATCCCCCCTGTAGAGGGACAGGCCCGAACTAAAGGTAGAAGAGCAGAGTGAGCCCAAGAATCACACCATCGCGTCCCAACCCCCCCCCTGCTCACGAGCCCATACAAGTCTTCCTCTCCACTGCGCGCAGCGCCCCCTTGAATGACGAGCGACCAAAAGGCGTGCCACTCAGACGAGACCCCGTTTTGTCGAGGATCCACTTCCACCCTTGCAGACAAAGCGCAAGATGACATGACAAAACTCACGAAAGTGTCAAGCGATAGCCTGTTTTTGGAAAAGGATCCTCCAACCGTGTAAGCGTTGCAGAGGTCTAAACCGAAAGTCGCGTTTTGAACAGCTAATTGCAATTTCTTCCTCCATGTCCACTCTTGCACAGTTTTGAATTTCGGGCCAAATCATTTTACGAACTCTCACACGGGTGCCGCATTCCATCCTTACGGCTGATTGAATGGATCATCGCGCATCGCGCACGTGGCGCCAACGCGACAGCCGCAGCGATCTTCCATCCGTGTAACGGTTACAGTGTGTTGGGTCGAGTGTGCGCAGCGTTAATGCGCGATCCGACTGTTGCAAACGAGCCCGCCCCCATCGTAATGACATTGGAAACTTGATTAACGAAGTTGGTCAGCGCTAAAGCGTGAATTGTATTTCGGAGCCCACCAGCCCTCCTTCCCGAGAGCCGTTTGCAGCATGCCCTCATACAAAAGGCATCACGACTTCGTGAAAGGTGCGAGCCGCATTTTGCAAACGAACTGCGACCCATCCTTACTGTTGCAGTCTGCTCCAAACACTTCATACGTTACAGAGAAAACGATTTCACTTATTACAAAAAAGTGCTCAACAAAACACCCCGCCCGGCCGACCAGGCACGTCTGGCGGCTCGACTGGGCGCCGGCGACTGCAAAAGGTATGGTTACGCCGGGGTGTGGTTTGCGATCGGCGCCGCCGGGGCCTGGGGAGGCACGACGCTGTCCTCGTCGGGCCTCCTCGGGGCGCGGCGGGGAGTTTTGTCCGAGGTCCTCTCCCGCCACCCAAGGGTGCCCGTTGCAAACCACACCCTCTGCAAACCACACCCTTTGGAGTCGCCGATGGTGGTTCGGCAGGAGGAGGATCAGGAGGGAAAGAATCGCACATACACAATGAATCGTCGACCCCCAGGAAGATATGGGAAAATTTAGGAAGTGGGAGGGAAGACGAAAGCCCAGAAAATATATATGGGGAATCCTGGGATGTGTGTATGTGTATTTGTGCCTCCTTGGGCCCCCGGGGGACGGCGGCAAGGACCAGCGCGAGGGGTCGAGGGCCAAAGGGGGGGGCCGTCGAAGGGGGCGGCCGTCTGCTTAGGCCCCCCCCCCCCGCCAGCTCTCCTCCTTTTTCTTCTCGTTTCGTTCCTCCTCCCATGCCTCCTCGGCTGCATCCCCTGCCCATGCTTCCCTTTCCTCCTCTGACCATCCTTGCCTTCTCCCTCTTCCCCTCCTTCCTCCTCCTCTGCCTTCCCCTTCTTCGTCCCCGCCCCTCCTGCTCAGGCCCCGACCTCTTCCTTTCCTCGACATGTTTTGCCCTCATGCCAGATCCGCTCATCCTCCCTCCTGCTCCCTCCTCCCTCCCTCTTTCCTACCCCTATCCCTCCTCGGATCTTCCATGCTTCTCGGCCTCCCTCCTTCTCCTGCTCCTCTTCCTTCTTCATTATTCCTCGTTCTCCTCCTCCTCCTCCTCCTCCTCCCGCTCCTTCCAGCGACCCCCCCCCTTTTCGCCCCCTTTTCCGCCTTTCCAGCGCCATGCCACGGCATGGTTCTCGGTCTTTCCAAATAAGCACCAACATCTAGAAAATACCCTCTGGAAAAAAACATCGGAGGTGATTCCACATTCGGTGTCGATTCGTTGATTTTTGGGGTCGCAGGGGCTCCCCCCCCACACTTTGGGGCGTCACCACGCCATGCTATGTCAGACTACGCGTCCTCCGAATCGTGCTCCCGCTGCAGCGCTGGCCTCATTTCCGCGCTTCCGCTCGGTCCGAATCGTGCTCCCGATGCAGTGTTGGGGTCAGTATTTCCAGCGCCATGCCACGACATGTTTTTCGCTTCTTCCAAATCGGCCCCAAAATCCAGAGAATGACCCATCGAAGCAACCATCGGCAATTATAACCCATTCGGTGTCGATTCGTTGATTGTTTGGGCCGCATAAGCTCCCACCTTATGGGGCGTCGCCACGCCATGCTATGTCAGGCTACGCGTTGATTTTCAACACCATGCTGTGCCATGTAATGCCATGCCCTGCTACGACGTCCGACTGTGCGAACAGAGAGGAGGTCTAAGCCACGGAGAACGGATGGGAGGGAGGGTTAGGACGTCGATACTACTCTCTCTACCCTGGCTCTGTCTGGAGAGTCTACCGTCCATTCCACGTGTTGCTTTCACATGCAGGGTTTCATCCTTTGGTTTTTGTCCCGTGTGCCTTCAATCCGGTCATTTCTGGTTCTTCCATAATGGTGTTCCCGCTGCAGCGCCGCTCTCATTTCCGTGCTTCGGTCATTTAAAATCGTGCTCCCGCTGCAGCGTTGGCCTCGTTCCTGCGCCTACGGACGGCACTTGGCATTCGAAAGCGCCCTCATCGGGCAGGCACGGTTGCGGAGGACATTGAGCCGCCATTCCGAACAGGCGTTGTCTTCTCGTAGACGGGCCATTTACCCTCCAATTCATCCGGTGCCATGCCACTGCATGCAATGTGATATTGTGTTGTGCACCGCTGCGATGCCATGCTTTGAGTTGCTATGCTTTGTGATGCAATGCTCCACTACGCAATGCCACGCCATGCTATGAAATGCTATGCTCTGCCGTGCTCTTCTGCGCCATGCTTTTCCATCCACCGTGTACTCTCCTGGGATATTTGCCCTGGTCGACAGCCGACTGCGCGAATATAGATACTTAGGAGATCTTCGCCGTGGTAAGCAATGGGAGGGAGGGGTCGGACGTCAGATGTGGCGCTAGCGCACCTAGCTTATCCCCTCACCTCCCCCCCATCCCATCCTGCGACTTCCGCCCGCATCATCACGATGGACCATCACAATCACCATCACCACCATCAGTATCGTCAACATCATCATTACCATCATGAGCTTCTTCTTCATCATCATCATCATCAGGTTATCACTCATCATCTGCATCACCATATAATTCTTAATCATCATCCTCTAACTCATCATAATCATCATCTGCATCATCGTCTTCGCTAGCATCTTCTTCAGCATCATCGTCATCCGCATCAGCTTGCTCATCATCATCATCTTCATCAACATAACCTTGGTCATCATCATCATCAACATCATCATCATCAGCATCATCATCATCTACCATCATCATCATCGTCGTCATCGTCATCATCAGCATCATCCTCATCATCATCATCATCATCATCATCATTGTCATCGTCATCATCATCATCATCATCATCGTCATCATCATTGCCATCATCATCATCATCATCATCATCATCATCATCATCATCATCATCATCATCATCATCATCATCATCATCATCATCATCGTCATCGTCATCGTCATCATCGTCATCGTCATCGTCATCGTCATCATCGTCATCAGCATTGTCCGATCCATCCCTCCCCTCCTCGTCCCGACCTCGGCGGGCGTGTCGGCCCCAGACCCCCGAGCCGGCCGGGGGCCCCGTCCTGGGCCCGGACCTGGCGGCGGAGTTGGTGCGGCGGCGGTGCCCCGAGGCCGTGCCCCGGGGCCCGGGCGGGCGTCCAGAAGTCAGGGAAGGGTGGGCGAGCGGGAGGGGGCGAGGCCGGAGGAGGGAGAGGAGGGAGGCGAGGAGGGGGATCGAAGGGCAAGGGATGGGCCGCGATGCCGCGGAGGGAGGAGGAGGAGGATCGAAAGAGGAAAAACGCCACAAGCAGAAACGTTTGGAGCTCCGCGTGGATTTCGTGGATCCGTGCTGGGCCCCCCCCCAGCTGCGCCTCCGGCGCCGCCCCTGGCGCGCTCTTCGCGCCAAGGGAGGGGGGCCCAGACGCGGATCAAGGAAGTCGAGCAGGGGGGGAGGAGGAGGAAGAGGAGGAGGAGGAGGAGGAGGAGGACGAGGAGGACGAGGAGGAGGAGGAGAAGGACGAGGAGGAGGGGGAGGAGGGGGAGGAGGGAGGAGGAGGGGGAGGAGGAGGAGGACGAGGAGGAGGAGGAGGACGAGGAGGAGGGGGAGGAGGGGGAGGAGGAGGAGAGGAGGGGGAGGAGGAGGAGGAGGAGGAGGAGGAGGAGGGGAGGAGGAGGAGGAGGAGGAGGAGGAGGAGGAGGAGGACGAGGAGGAGGAGGAGGATGAGGAGGAGGAGGACGAGGAGGAGGAGGGGGGGGGGGGAGGCGGAGCCTGCCCGGGGGCGCCCGAGGCCCTGCCTGGCCTGGGCATCCTGGTCGGCTACGACAGCAGGCCCCGCCCCGCCTCGGCAGCTCCGGCGGCGCCGCCGTCGGCACGCTTCGCCATCGCAGCAATCTCAGCAATTCATCGTCGATTCCCCAGAAAAGATGGGGGGGAAGGCAGAAACCCAGAAAAGATGGGTAAATATGAGCAATAAATTTATTTGCGTGTATTTATTTGTGTGTCTTTGGGCCCCTTCACAATCGCCACGTTTCGTGCCCTGGATCGTCTTGTGGATCTGGGCCTCCTAGATGGGGTCGGAGTGAATTAACGGGCGAAGAACGGAATAACATAAACTTTTTCGCTGTCGGGGGCGCCTGCCCCAGGGCGGCTCGAAAGTTTATACCCCTACGGTGGCACCGTAGGGGTATAAACTTTCCAGCCGCCCTGAGACAGGCGCTTCCGACAGCGGAACAGTTTATTTTACACCGTTCTTCGCCCGTTAATAGATGGGGTCGGAGTGAATGGGGTCGAAAGATCGCTGCGCATCGCCGACGCGTCGGCGATGCGGCTCGATGTGCGGAGTGAATGGGGTCGAAAGATCGCTGCGCATTGCTGACGCATCGGCGATGTGGCTCGATGTGGAGCCCGATTTCCTCCACGCCGAGGTCGCTGACGCATCGCCGACATCGCCGGTGCATCTTCGATACATCGTCGGTGTGTCGGTATGCATCGGCGATGCGTCGCGATCCTCCGAACCCATCTGCCCGGGCCCTATCCAGGATCGGGGAAACGTAAGACTCGGGTAAGCCGGAACTCGGGTTAGCCGACGTCTTTTGACGAGCGCGTCCTGGATTTTGACGGTCGTGATCTCGCGCCAAATTTCAGATTGGGTCTCGTCATTTTATGGTGGCGCCGTCAGGACAACCCGAGTCCCCCGTACCCGAGTCTTGCGTCTCCGAAGGGAAATAAGAAGAAGCACTTGCATAAGCGTGAACTTTCGGAGCCCCCCAGCGGCTCCTCCGGCGCCGCCCCTGGCGCGCTCCGCGCGCCGGGGGACAGGCAGCGCCGATCCGAGAAACCAGCGCGGACCTCCGAGAGTTAATGTTCATCATGTAAGTATTTGGCCTCCGAGCCTCGCTTCGCCGCCTGGGGCGCCGCCGCCGTCGCCGCGTGCGGCGTTCCGGAAGAATCAGGAGGGGAGAAAACACATTGACACAATTAATCATCGATTCCCAAGAAAAGATGGGAAAATATGGGAAGTGGAGGGGAAGACAGAAACCCCAAAAATGTTAAAAGATATTGGGAATATGTTTATTTGTGTATATTTATTTGTGTGTCCTGGGGCCCCTCAAAAAAAGGCCGTCGACTGCCAGGATCGGATCTGCCATCGCTTTCTCGGCGGTCGGCGGCGGGAGGGGCGGCGGAAGGAAAACGAGGACGCCTCCGCCCGTGGAAGTTGGCGGGAATCACCAGCCTCGAACTTATCCCTATCCCTAAGATCGACACGCCAAAAGGCGATGACATTCTTAGGGATGCGCCCTCCAAAAATAAGGGACTCCCCAAGATTGGCATCGTGATGAGGCGATGCCCAGCTTAGGGATAGGGATATGTTCCAGGCTGATCAGGGAACAAGAGAGGCGCCCCCGCGAGGTGGCAACAGGTTTTGGGTGTCAGGGTTTCCAGGACCCGCCGCGTGTCGCCGTGCAAGAAGCGGGTCCTGAGGGGAACGGGCCGTGGAGTTTGTTCCTCGTTGTCGGCTTCTGTGGGGGCCTTCTTGGGTGCTTGGGGCCGTCTACAGCATGTGAGCAATAGCCTGTATCATGCATCGTTCACCGACCGCAGCTATCAAGCACGGTCGCAACTATTCTTCAGCAAGAGCGCACATCCTATACATACGCCAAGGACGCATGCACGAGCACAGACACCACGAGCATGCATCAACCACGGACTCCACGATCCGATCCCAGTTTTGCACTCCAGACGCAGCCATCAAGTTTGCACACACATAACGGACTTCAGCGATACACACCAATAGCGTGAACATATAACGATAAGTCATGCAATGCACCAAGACGAAGCAGCTATTGTACACATCGACAGCAGGTGCACAAGCAATTCGCATCAACCACATGAAAAACCACACCATCAGCATACATCAGCAGCACTTTTCAGGACCTTGCATCAGCATGCACAGTATTGTATTAGTGGTGACTGTTCGAAGTATGATACTTGGTTTTGTCCCCTCCGGTCGCTTTCCACCACCCTCCCACCTCTCCTGCGTCTCCTGCTCCCCCCCTCTTCCTGCTCTTCCCTCGTTCCGTCTTCACCCCCTCCCTCCCCGCCCTCCCTCTCCTTACCCCCGCCCTCCAAACGCCCCCCTCTTCCTCCTCCCTCCATCCTCTTGCCCCCCTTCCTCATTTTTCGTTACTCCTCCTGGCGTCTCCTGCCCCTCATCCTCTCATCCGCTCACTGTGTGCCCTCCCTTGTATAGCCCAGCGGCTGCAGGCTGCACGGCGATCTTCCTGCCGAGCGAGGCAAGAGGCATCACATGAGGAGGATACAGCAGCACTACGGTGTCCCCTTCGGCAAGATGTTGCTGCTAGTCCTGGAGGGTTCCAAGGGCGGCTGGGGCAGAGAGGGTTTGCCCGTCTCCCTCGGTTTCGACCTTTTTCCAGGGCCAGGCGGAGATTTCAAGTCACCATCGAGAAAAGGATCCTGAGGGACAGGACTGCGGTCCAATGCTTGCCGGTTTCAGCCTTCGTCGGCACCAGGAGCGGCAAACACCGATTCGTGAGAAGTTTGGCCTGATCCAGCTCGACAGTCCTTCAATGCTGCTTGGGAAGTGCTGGTCGCGCCCAGGGTAACCTCCCAGGAGTTGCGACCCTTCTCTCTGCCCTGGCACTTTTTCAGCCCTCTGGTAGACGACAGCAGGGCGAACCTGGAGAACGAGGACGGTTGGCACGGCAGAAGGAGGAGGAGGAGGTAGTACGAGCGAGTTGGTTTGGAGGAGCACGATGAAGACGGAGAAGGACGAGGGGTTCAGACGACACAGTACAAAACTTCAGGATTAAACAGTGCGGACCACAGAGGTAGCGTAAGAGGGGTCGCGGTGCTCCCGGTAGGACGCGGGGCCCCAGCACAACAGAGATTGCCCTGGCGATTCTCCAGTGCACTCATCGTTCCTATTAATCTTCCATTGGCCAGGTGGGGTGTGGACCGGAGAACCCCCATTCCGCGCAATACTTCCTCCCAGAAAGCCTTTGGTCGCATTTCCAAGCAACTTCGGAGAACGGCGATGTCGCGCGGGACGTCCTCAGAACAAGTCTGGACCCATTTCTAGCCACCACAGAGTAGTGATTGCGCTTCGGGCTTCCCCAACTCCACGTTTGCGGACCCGTTGCATGCGGCGTAAAAGTACAGATTTCGCATGGGAGTTCCTCGCAGCCGCATGTACTGTCCCATGGGGTGCCGCCAGAAAGTTCCAAAGTGGCGCCAGACTTCCTCTGCGCTCAGTTCGCGCTTGCACCGGCGCGCCGATGGACTCCGTCTTCTTATCTTTAAGGGTTTCGCCCCGTGCCGCCGGCCTCCTGGTCATCATAACGGGGTACATAAGAGCTACATTAGGACGTCTTGTCGTTGTCTTGACGATATTATGATGTTGACGCCGATGGTGATGCTGATGCTGCGGATGCCGACTCCGATGGTGATGGTGATGGAGATATTGGCGCTGGTGGCGATGATGATGATGCTGCTGATGATGATGATGACGATGTTGTTGATGATGCAGATGCTGATGCTGATGCTGCTGCTGGTGGTGGTGATGATATTGTTGATTGTGGTCAAGCTGATATTGATGATTGAGATGACGATCGCATTGCGCGAAATCAAAGTGCTGCGCACGAACTTGCAGCAACTTGGGCCCATCCATAAAGGACTGATACATGCGCCCTCCCGTCGGTGTGTGGTGAAGGCACTTCACGCCTCGCAGATCGCCACCATCACACCCAGACGCGATGCAGGCAACATGGGTCGACGAGAAGGAAGAGGCGCGATACGGGAGAAGAAGACGAGGAGGAGAAGGCGGATGATGATTATGTTGATGATGATGATGATGATGATGATGATGATGATGGATGATGGATGATGGATGATGGATGATGGATGATGGATGATGGATGATGATGATGATGATGATGATGATGATGATGATGATGATGATGATGATGCTGATGATGATGATGATGATGATGATGATGATGATGGTGGTGATGATGATGATGATGATGATGATGATGATGATGAGGAGGAGGAGGAGGAGGAGGAGGAGGACGAGGAGCAAGGAGGATGCGCGAGGAGCAGGAGAGAGGATGCGCAGGCAGGTAAAGGAGGCGGAGGAGGAACGCGACGACGAGGAGGGGCAGCGCCGACGGGGAGGAGGAACGGAGAGGACGGGGGAAAGTGAGAAAGGGACACGCAGCGGGAGAAAGCCAGGAAGGAGGCGCAAAGGGATCCCAGTCGTCGCACCGCTCTCGGGGGACCACTCACTCTGGGAGGCCTTCGAGGGGGGAGGGGATTCTTCGGGGGCGGCCCTCGGGGGCCCCGCTGTCGCGCCAGAGCCCTCTAGGGGGCAGCGCATCAATTTTGTTGGGGGGGCCCTCGGGGCGCACGTTCTGCGAAGCAGGGGGAGCTGCGCACACCTGCTCTGGGGGCCCGCTCCCGCGCCAGAGGCCGGCTGCCCGCAGCTTCTTTGGAGGGGGGGGGGGGGCACCCGCTCGGGGGGGTGGGGGGGCATTCCATGGGGCAGGAGGGGGGCTGCTCAGCACGTTCCCCTGTGGGGTCTCTCCAGGGCCCCGGTCTCGCGCCAGAGGGGGCCGCTCACGATTGCGTAAGGGGGGGGGGGGCGGGGGGAGGGGGGATTCCGTGGGGCAGAAGGGGGGCTGCTCAAGACGTGTTTTTGTTTGGGGCCCTCTTTGGGGCTCCAACCGTCGCGCACCACGCCAGAGGGGGCTGCTCACAGCTTTTCGGGGGATGGTCTTCAGAGGGGGGGGGGGAACTCCGCGGGGCAAAGGGGGGGGGAGTCTCACGACTGTGTGCGGGGCCTCTGCGAGGCCCCGCTCACAATTTTTGTCCAAGGGTGTTGGATGAGGGAGGAGGAGGAGGAGGAGGAGGAGGAGGAAAAGGAGGAGGAGGAGGAGGAGAAGGACCTCCTCCTCCTCCTTCTCAGGAGGAGGAGAAGGAGGGAGCGTTTTGTTGGTGTGTCTCTCTTTTGGGCCCCGCTCTCGTGCCAGAGAGGGGGCTGCTCACAACTCTTTGGGGGAGGTGCGCACACCCTCACCCGCGCCCCCCACAGAGCTACGGCCAGCCATCGGGAGGAGGAGGAGGAGGAGGAGGGGAAGGAGGAGGAGGAGGCGAAGGAGGAGGAGGAGGAGGAGGAGGAGGAGAAGGAGGAGGAGGAGGAGGAGGAGGAGAAGGAGGAGGGGGAGGGGGAGGAGGAAGGGGAGGAGGAGGAGGAGGAGGAGGCGAAGAAGGAGGAGGAGGAGGAGGAGGAGGAGGAGGAGGAGGGGGAGGAGAAGGAGGAGGACGGAGTTCTGACGACGTGTGTTTCTGTTGTTCGAAACGCGGACCCCGCGAGGCCCCTCCCCTCGGAGGTCTGGCTCTCTTCCCCGCGACCGGCGTTCCATCCCGTGCCGCTTCTTATCGACCCCGTGGGCCTGGCGGGGGCCCCTGGAGGCCCAGGGCCGCCCACGGCCTCTCGCCGTGCGTCTCCCGCAATGCGAGGAGCAGGGAGCGAGCGAGCGAGGAGCGAGCGGGAGCCAGGAGGAGCAAACTGCGGGGAGGAGGAGGAGGATGAGGACGAGGAGAAGGAAGAGGAGGAGGAGGAGAAGGAGGATAACGAGGAGAAGGAGGAGGAGGAGAAGGAGGAGAAGGAGGAGGAGGAGGAGGAGGAGGAGAGGGATGATGATGATGATGTGATGATGATGATGATGATGATGATGATGATGAGGAGGAGGAGGAGGAGGAGGAGGAGGAGGAGGAGGAGGAGAATGACGAGGAGGAGGAGGAGGATAATAATGACGAGGAGGATAACGAGGCGGAGGAGGAGGAGGAGAGGGAGGAGGATCACGAGGCGGAGGAGGAGGAGGAGGAGGAGGAGGAGGAGGAGGACGGGGAGAAGAGAGGAGGAGGAGGAGGAGGAGGACGAGGAGGAGGAAGAGGAGATGGAGGAGGAGGAGGAGGAGAATGAGGAGGAGGAGAACGAGGAGAAGGAGGAGGAGGAGAGGAGGAGAAGGAGGAGAAAAGAGGAGGAGGAGGAGGAGAGGGAGGAGAGGGATGAGGAGGAGGAGGAGGAGGAGAGAGGAGGAGGAGGAGGAGCAGGAGCAGGAGGAGGAGGATAATAATGACGAGGAGGATAACGAGGCGGAGGAGGAGGAGGAGAAGGAGGAGGAGGAGGATAACGAGGCGGAGGAGGAGGAGGAGGAGGAGGCGGAAGAGGAGGAGAAGGAGGAGGAGGAGGAGCAGGTGGAGGAGGAGGACTGGGAGGAGGAGGAGGAGGAGGAGGAGCGAAGATGACAACCGCACGGCTTCGGGAAGGGCTCGAGCTCGCTATTGCGACTCGAGCGATTGAATGGCAGCGCTTTGGGCTGCTTGCCTGATGGGGGATCGGGGTTAGGTACACCGCCTGGCTCATGCTTGAGCTCTTAGGGGGTAACACACTGCAGAGAGGATCCCAAGATCCCAGGAACATCGGCTGAAAATGGAAGAACAGGTTTCGAGGCAACTCTGATGGAGCCCCCTGACGGTACACTCGCTATACCTTCGGCAAGATTTGCATAGAACAAGACGCTAAACAACGAACACATGGTAACCGTTAGGCTGCATCGCGAGCCTGGCTGGCCTTACCGCACTGCCAGGGCAGGCTTCCTTCTTGCGGGCAGCCTTGATCTTGTCAGTCAGGCATGCGATCGTTTTCTTAGTCATTGTTTTGCCGATCGGCGCGGGCCCTCGCATGCCCCCTCCACCCCCCTCGTGGAGTAGATCTTGGCTGTTTTTGGCGCCTGCTTCGAGCAGGTGGAGTCCCCCCCGTGGGACGTACTGCTGCGCACAGTCGCATGAAGCAGAGGTCCGGAGCCAGACCCCCCCCCCGTCCCTCCCCTCGTTGGCTTAAACTGGCGACCGACGATTCAACTTGTACTAAACTGGAGGCGCATTTTGTCACGTGTTCCACTCCTGATACTTCTGTGGCGCCGGCCGCCTGAGTAAGCTTCCAGCTAGCCGGCCATGTCTGCGAGGCCACGGCCTCACCCGCTCCGCCCTGAAGGGCCCGGGCGATTGCCCGCACGAGCGTCCCCCCGCTGACCTTCCAGAGAGCTATTTGTTTAGCACTGGAGACCTAAAAAGCTAAACAACGAGACGAAACAGCCTAAAACCAAGACGCAGAATAGCTCTTTGGATAGGCTTTTCAGTCGCGTGCTATTTTTGTTAGCCGTCCTGGGAGGTCAGGGCCGTCCCTCCCCCCCTTCCGCCCGACGTCGGAGCGCCGAGAAAGCGAAACCGTTGACCCTCTCGAGCGGCAGGCGAGGGGCAGAGGCGGCGCTGGCCCCCGGTGGCTCTCCACGCCCCGGGCCGCAGGAGGGCCCCGGGAGGCCATGTCTGCGAGGCCACGGCCTCACCCGCTCCGCCCTGAAGGGGCCCGGGCCATTGCCCGCACGAGCGTCCCATTCCCATTCCCATTCCCCTTCCGCCCGACGTCGGAGCGCCGAGAAAGCGAAACCGTTGGCCCTCTCGGGCGGCAGGCGAGGGGCAGCGGCGGCGCTGGCCCCCGGCGGCTCTCCACGCCCCGGGCCGCAGGAGGGCCCCCGGGAGGCCGAGCCGCGGCGGCGCCCCGACCTCCTCCTCCCTCCTCCTCCTCCCTCCTCCTCCTCCTCCTCCCTCCTCCTCCTCCTCCTCCCT